AGGAGAAGGGGAGATGACACAGCACCCCAGAGGGAGCTGAAGGAGGAGGGTTTGGTGCCCTTGGCTGGGGGGCTGGCAGGGATGCTGCTGAAAATAAAAAGTGGAAGTTAGTGGCAGGAGATGGGCTGGAAATGACCCTGAAGGGGACAGGTGGAGAGGAACCCTGCCTGGCATGCTCAGGATGTATAGAGAAGTATTAGAACGGTTTGGACATCTTTGTATTATGAAATCACCTGGGAATTATTAACATAATAAACAGAGAGATATAGATTTACAGGTATTGTATAATTAATGTGTTTTAAACAGTATGATGAATGTATATTCTATTAAGTCATTCTATACCACACTTGACAGAGGTACAAGTGTACAACTCAGAAGATGAGAAACAAATACAAAAAATATCCTGCCATATCATTTCACAAAGGTCTGGTAAGGAGAGCTCAGGTTATTGAAGCGTTTGGCAGGACTGTGCTCACCCACTCTCTGCTTTATATAGACATAAAATATGACACTCAGTCAGCTCACGTTTAAGGTTGCTCCATAAACACCTTTTTGTGCCCCAAAGGACAAGCATGTGCATGTCCACATAAGGCAAGTCTGACAGATCCCATTTGCCTCTGAAGTGTGCAGCTATATACTCTCCTCAATACTGAGTTTTCTTTCCTTTCAAAACGTGCAATTAGTAAATACAATCATAGAGCTAAAACCCACTTAATCTACATTTAGAAACACTAAGACACACTAAAGACTGAGGATTATTTTCAGTGCTTCTTTTCAAACACAAAACAGTTGAACTCTAAATTTTTTCAATCTGAATTCTCAATCAGACAACCCAGCTGAGTCCTGGATCTTGGCAGCTTTCCCTATTGACTAACACAAACTTTCACAAGTAAGGTTTGCTCTCATCATGACATCTGACACTGATCATCAGGGGAGGAAATGGGGGAGGAAGCACTTGGCTTTGCAAGGTGTAGAGCTTTCTGGCCTGCCTCCAGTGAAGCATTCAAGAAAGGGTGGTGAGAAAGAGAACTGAGTTGAGTGGGACTCTGATATAACTTGGGTGACACACATATTTAAGGGGAGCTGGTACAGCAGATCACATTGCCAGAGCACAAGCCTCTATCCCTCAAGCTCTACAAAGCAGCAGAGTTTGCAGCTCTCATCCTCTTCAGGAGACAGTCACCAGGGATCAAGATATATTGAAACAGCATTAAATCACAGGGACTATTGTGGAACAGCTGTTCCTTTTCATGAGCCTGTATTTATGAACTTCAAAGGATAAGTACAAGCAAGTGAAAATATTACATTTTTATTGCCCTATGATCTTCTATTGAAAAGTGGGGGAGGGGAAGGCAGTCATCCAGCTAAGGGCAAGAAAGACAATATCTCTAAGATGACTCTGTGCCCATCTACCGAGCAGTGTCAAGACTCAGAGCACAGCAATGAGTGAGTGTCCAGGATCCACTTGTTCAAACAACATGAGCAGCTTACAGGCTTTTTTGGAAGGGGAAAGAGATATTGACATTTTGCATAAAACCATAGTTGAAATGAGTGTGCCACCTCAGTATGGCAGAGCTTTGCACTGTAAATATCTCACAGTGTTTTGCCAGAAGATCATAAACCATTGTTATTTTCAATTGCTTATAAACTAAGCAGTGTTGTATTAATTTTTCCTTCAGCCTAAGCTGGTATTTAATGAAAATATTTCTATTTAGTGACATTTAGCCCAGTGGGGCCAAGTCCTCCAGGATATGTAAAAAGTGAATTCCTGTTTCTGCCTGTCATGGGTCCCACATGCCCACTAGTTCCCCATGGCCCCCATTGCTGTGGCCAGGGAGCAAGATGGATCCCTCTGATCACCCAAGCTTTGGATGTGTCAACCAACATGGCCAAAGACTGAACTACATAATTAGATTTTCCCTTTGCTGGAGCTGGCTTTCTGCTTTCATCAACATTGGTCTAATTTCAGATCAAAAGACATGAGAGGACATGATGTAAATTGCTTAACAGTTTGCCTCAGGTCACAACATGGTATGGGACATGTCCTCCAGTGAAGGTCCGATGAGGCTGTGCCTATTGCATGCATGACTGCATTCATCCTGCTAAGCACTCCTGCACAAGCAAACTGTGGTCTTCACCTCTGAGGCATGAGTGGGAAAAGGAACCGGAGAGCAAAACTTCAGAAATCCCTGTCCTCAATTGAGTCTCATGGACATTTCTCCAGCTTGAAAAGCTACACATCACTTCAGGGGCTGATGGCTGTGAAACTCTCCATATGGGCTGCAAGAAGGCATAGCCTTCCACTAGGCTTATGTCACACTGTCTGATGATTATTCAGATCACTCCAACAGAAACTTCCTAGTCTGTGCAATTTTCTTTTACAGATGAGAATATTGTCAGTAAGCAGAGTCCAGTTTATGTAAAAATAAAGAGCAAACCAACCTCTAGGTAGCCTATAATGCAGTACTTCTGAGGGCCATTCATTCCACAGGTTGATGAGGCTGTTAATTGCTTGCTGCGACCCAGAAGGAGGTCCCCAACAGCTGGGTGGCAAGACCCAGCATCACAGTCATCCTGTGCATGCTGGAGTCTTATCAGCACTGAGCGCAAAAGATCAAAGAGAGATGAAATTGTTTTGTATACCCAGCAGTATTCTCCAGAGAAAATCAGTTACATCCCAACAGCAGCATAAAAACAAATTATCCTTTGCCTGAACTCCTTTTGTCTGTAGTAATACGATTGGGTAGAACCTTGAAGAACTTTGGTAATGAATACATCTGCTGCAAAATCATGATAAAAATAACAGTTAACATATTGCAAATATATGCTAAAACTTAAATTATCAGCACATTATTGTGTAGCAAACGTGCCAGCAGGCTATAAGCAAGAATTTATCATGCTTCCTACCATGGCATATCCATAGCCAGCACTCCTACAGCAGAATCACAGGCATTTCATTTGACTCTGAGCAGAGCCAGATGATTTCTGCTAGTTTCCAAGTGATTATGGTGAAATTGAGACCAGAACTGACATCAGTGGTCTCTTAGATTTTCTCATGATTTGCAATGCACCTCCTGTCCTGGTCCCAGAACCCTCCATTCAGACCCATGGAATTGTCACTAATTAAACAGAATAATTCTCAAATTTCTATAAATAACTGAAGGATCTTTTGGTTTATTTGGCCTGAAACAACTTTAAATATTTTCTCCATTATGTTAAGACTTCCCTTACAGGGCTTGTTCTTTTAAACAAGTTCTGTCCTGAAACCCTGAACAGGAATGGGTACCTTGGAGGCTTTATCTATTCAGGTTTACTTGGCTCAACTTGTTATAAACGGTGCAGTATAAAAAAAAATACAATCAATACACAAAGATCCTGCAGAACACTGGAAACAGTAATGCAATTGCAGCAGTAAACATAAAGTACTTTATAGTCAGATTTAAATCCATGACTCAGGCTATAATTCAGATGATGAGTGATCCTTGACTCTTTAGGTATAAAGCAATGCATTAGTTTAGTTACCCTGTTCTTTATTTATGCAGAACCACACTCATGTAGCTGTTACCAGATACTGACTACCCCTTGCAGGACCTGATTCAGACTCAATTACAACATGTGTCTTTTCTTTGTATCATAACATTCATAGCTCCCAGGCAGCAGAGCTGGTCTTAATAGTGTAATTAAAAGAGGCACTCTAATGAAAATCTTGGAGAGATATGTAAATCACATGGTAATATTTCAAAATTGGCTTTAATAACTGTAACATCTGTACTTACTCAGGTTTAACAGCATGACCAGACCCAGCCTCATGCCTCCCTGTAGAGCTCAAACTGATGCTGCTGCAAGAGAAGAACTGGCAGGTCACCCAGTGCTCTGCCTCAGCAAGGCACCTCTTGTGTGTAAGCTTACCCAGACAGAGCCCTTAGTAAAGTGACAAAGCCATAATCAAAACGTAAATGTTAAAAGGAAAACCTGGCTTTGATTTTATTCTAGCAAAAATTTCTCCTGACAATTTTCAGCAATGAAACCAGTGTGAAAGCAGAGAGATATCTCACACATGACTTTGGAGAAGACCTTAAAAACATATCCACACTGAGTTTAAAGTAAAATCAAAATGCTATCAGGAAAAACACTGTAATATTTGAATATAAGCCATTTAATCATAAATAAATTCAGCAGTGCTGTTTGCAGAGAACAAACTTTTTCTCAGAAGGTTCTTGTTTTTTACATTGACTTAAAATAAAGACCAAGGTCCTAATAAAAGTGGCACTGAAAAATGCCTGAAGTCAGATGCTATGAATTTTGGTAGAGATTATAACCACAGCTTTAAATGTGGTGAGGAAAAACAGGCAAGGTCAGTATCAACAGAAGAGACTTCTACAGGAGAACATCAGTATGAACCCAAAGGAGATTAACTGAGGTGTTTACTTCACATCTTTCCTCTTCCTACTTATCTGGAGGAAAAGAAGACTTGCCAACACAAAACGTCTTCAGGAAAAACAGAAGACAGCCATGAGTGTAAAAGACAACCCAGCATCCTACCACCAAGTAGAGCTCCCAAAATGCAATCTTTCTCCAACCCTTACACCTTCCATCTCTTTCTTCATCCATAGGCACCAACAGGGCCAGGACACCCTGATGCAGCTCCAGCTGCTGAGGTGTCTCCAGTGAGCGTGCCCAAAGTGCCACTTCCCAGCTCTGTTACTGTTCCTCACCTTCATAGAACCATTGCTGTGCTGAATGGGCTAAGATGAAATAATCCCCTGAGGGAAGTGGGAACAAAGCAAAGTATTCAACTCAAAGTACTTCAGATGTTACAAGCTCCACATAGGCTTGGCTTTATAGAGTACATGACACAACAGCCATACCTACAAGGCTGTTTCAGCAACTGCAGGGAAGGAAAGCAATCAGGGGCCACCAGCCCGTTGTGCTGCTTCAGCTCCTCTCACTGGCCATGACCGCAGAGACCCTGGCATGTGACAGGGGACAATGCTGGCGAGCACCTGCACAGCTGTGCCTGGCTCCCTGGATACAGAGGGACCTGGCAGCAGAGCTGGGGTTCAAGGCAAGACCAAGCAGGCACTTTACTGCTGAGTTGGACTTTAAATTTCATATACTTTCAGAATAATGGACAAACTCAGAGATTACTTAAGCTGTGGCCACTGCAACAGCACCAGAGTGAAATAAAGGTACCTGCATTAATCTCAGTACGCACACGTCCCAGTCCCTACCCTAACACCATGGCGTTCAATACCAAAGATAGTCTTTAACCATTACTCCATTTAACTGAGAAACAAGGACCAGCAAAACTCCAACATATTCTAGTTCCATGCTTAGCAGGAAAATTAAATACTGAAGAGGTCTTACCTGAGTTTCAGGCAGCCAAGTGTTTCAGCTGGAAATGAGCACAACCGACTGAGGGAAGCAAGCAAAGGCATACCTGTGTGCTTCAGCTGGAGAAGACAGCAAGTCCCCTGAGGCACTGAGGTGTAGGTGAGAATGAGACCCAGCCTGCAACCTGCCAAAGGCTTGATTTGTGAACTCTGTCTGCTGGGGCTTCTGGCATTAGCAAATATGTGCAATGAAAGAAAATTGTGACAGGTTAAGTTCACAGCACAAAACATTTGTGAAAATTAAGAGAAGGCTGGGATTCTAAAAGCACTGGCAAACAACTAACTCTTTAATTGTTTAATTAAGCAATTGTTCAGTTGGTCCAGTTTGCAACAAAATGTTAAGTCTTTACAACTACTTAACACCAGAAGTCTAGTGGCACTAGTTGCTCTGAACATGTACTAGAAAAGACTCCAAATGATCTGGAAGAGCTGACTTTATAAACATGCCTACCCGAAAGCTGTGATTGCACCTGCATGGACATATCAAGCCAGCTCCAAATTAGCTCAAGCTCTGGATCAGTGCCATGAGCACTAGGTTGTATCCAACTTAAAGCTAAAGACAGCAGGACGACTTGAGCCCCAGCTTTGCATTTCAGCACATGCTTTGCCTGTCACTGCCCACGGCAGCAAGCACGGGGCTGGTGTGCAGTGCTGAGCGCAGCTGTGGGAAACGTGGCGATGGAGCAGCCCTGAAATGGTGTTCACCAGCCCATGCACAGCACTGGCCTCTGTTTTTTGTTGAATCCTGTGCAAGTTTTCAGAATGGCAGGTTGTCTTGGGTACACATTTTCAGTTGTGACATATCTGTTATCACTTCGCCTTCACGTGTAATGCTTAATTAATGACTGTCTGTAAAGTATCATCACATCCTCAAACAGGTTTTCTGTATGTGCAAAAAAAATGTTTTATAAACTAATAATTCCTTTTCTTCTGGTAGTTCCCATTCTTTCAGAAAAAAAAAAAAAAGAATTATACATGTTCTTTTATCCTATTGCAATGCCCAATACTAAGTGTCCTGTACCATTATTATGATCATTCACTCAAGTAGAAATAATTAATACACTTACATCTTTTACAATATTTTTCCTCAAGTGCATGTGGAAATAACTTGCTGGAGACATTTTTCAGAGTAATTTAATTGGTTTGTATTCATGCATGATTAATTATTGTACAGAGGGTTTACATGTAATGGATTTCAATATTAAGAAATAATAGACTAAATGATATATTAAGATATTAATTTTACTTTTTATGTGTGAGCAATATGTCAAGTGCAGTCTGACAGACTGACATAACTGAAGAAAGTATTATTATGATGCTACTAAATTATAGAATGGTTGACGTTTTACTAGGATATCTGGTAGGGAATTCAGATTTTGTTACAGAGAAGTTATGTGAGAAGTAAAGATAATGGAAGATTTATTTGCACAACGTAGCCAGTCCTGAGTTTTGATTTATGTAGCACCCCAAGCAAGAAGAAGCTTTTAAACTGCTTGAAGCAGGGATTAAGTAAGTTCTTTTCTTGCTTCTTTAATCTCTCCACCAGTAAAGGATGTGGATTTATAATGCATCGCTCGTCCCATGCTGGCTGGAGGGTAGATAGCACTGGTGCGTGATTTTTCAAGTCATCACAGGTCCTTTGGTTGACATTTCTTAGGCCCAAGGCATATCCGTAATAAACATAAAGGACAGGAATTGCTAGCACTTCAGCAGGTATTCCCTTCACAAGCACCAACCAGCAGTGAGGGAGAGAGCAGCATTAGAGGCAGCAGCCCTGGTGTCACCTTCAGAGCCTGTCCCCTGGACTCCAGGTGATGGGTAGGTGGCACCAGCCCTTTTGAGTTTTCCTGCAATGGACATTCTGAATAAAAATGTCTCTTTGGGTATGTGGATATTTTCCCCGGTAATGAAAATGCTAAAAACATTTTTAAAAAAATAATTCTTATTTTCTTTAAAGTTTCAATAAGAAATAAAATTATTTGAGTCTGGGATTATTCTTGCCATGTGAAAAATAAGTATTTAATCTAAATAAATCACCTGGATTTCTTTTAGAGGCAATGGAGAAAGACAGGAATCCCTAATGGGTCCATTCTACCACCTTCTTTAGGTACTTTCCTGTAAGGGATAAATTCCTCTGTGAAGGTATCCACTGCTTTTGCTTGTTTATGAGCAGCCCAGTTCCCCATCTTAGGACAGATGCCTGTATTTTAAGCCATGAAAGGGTACTGAGATGAATCCCATCCATACAGAACTGGCCAGAAAAATAAATGAAATCTAATGGCCCAAAAAGGAAAACCATCTTGCTACATATCTCTCACCTCTTTTTTTCCTGCTCTTATTTCTTCAAGTGTATCTTATGCCTAAACTGTAATTCCTCAAGGCAACGACACTGCATGTTTTGGTTTTCTAAGCATTGGGAGAATGTAGCACTGGATAATAAAACCAGAATGAAGTATAATCTTACAATAAAATAAGAGCTGTATTTTATTTTGCAGGTCTAATCAGGAGAGAGTTAAGGAAAGCAGAAGACCATGCTGCAGAGCTCAGGGGCAAGGGGAGAGGAAGGACACCCTCTCCCCCAGCCTCCTCACCTCTGCATCCCACCAGCTGGCTGCAACTCAGTATCTTGCATCCTGGAGCAAACAGATACCTTCACAATTGTATTTAACAATGGTTTAAAAGAGCTTTTCCACACCTCAAAAGGATGTAAATTCTATTTTTTAATTTATGAGGAGCTTATATAACAGTCACAGCACCACAGGGTGCCCTTCACCTTTTGGGTGCAAGTCAGGTGTTTGAAGTTTTTGGGTTTTCCACCACAAAAAAGAAGCGAAGTTTCAACTTGAATATTATCTCCCTTGTAGCCATAGCACGGCTGATAGTAGTAATCAACACTAAGAACAAAAAGAGCAGATTTGTTTTAAAATTCAGTGTGATTTGCAAAGTGCTATTGAATATATGTATATTCAATATACAATGCCCAAGGCATTCTGCTGTGTCCCTGATGACCTTCCACAGGGGAGTGAAAGGAAAGTACATCAAGGGAATCATAGAATCCTAGGGGTTAGAAGGGACCTCGAAAGATCATCTAGTCCAACCCCCCTGCCAGAGCAGGGTCACCCAGAGCACATCAAACAGGAACACGTCCAGGTGGGTTTTGAATGTCTCCAGTGAAGGAGACTCCACAACCTCCCTGGGCAGCCTGTTCCAGTGCTCTGTCACTCTCACAGTAAAAATTTTTTTTCGGATATTCACCTTGAACCTCCTATGCTCCAATTTGCACCCATTACCCCTTGTCCTAGCAAGGACAAGGAAGAAGATTTACTACCCGAAGCATGCTTTATTTGGCCCCATTAAGTCCACATACAAGTTTTCCCCATGATTATGAGGAGAAAACTGCATTGCGAGGCTTTAACA